CGCAATTACAATCAAACTGAAAAAGAAGCACTGGCAACCATTTTAGCTGTGACGAAGTTCCATAAGATGCTCTATGGTCGAAAAGCTAGCTAACTATTGGCTGTTCATCGATAAACAACTGGGAGAACTCGTTCAAAGCTGTTACCAATCAACAGTCGTTCGTACCTTGTCGCTATCGATGCAGTTATCTAATGGCCCGAGATTTTTCAGCTGGATAGCCCTACGTCAATCTCAACAATTGCAAACATCCACCAACTTTTCGGTGGCTTTGGTGGCCCTGAAACGCTAGTCAGCGAAAATGGCACCCAGGTGACATCAGGACAATTTAAAGAATCCTGCAAGCAAAATGGCAGTACTAACATACACTCCCCATCTTCTCATCTGCAATCAATTTTGCCAAGGAGACGTGGAAACAGAAAACGAACGCAAACCACAAAACTGCTAGTCTACCCAAAAAGGCGAACTTACATTTCAAAGGGGAAGCCAAATCTTCCCCTGAGAATCCTCTTAGTTTGCATCTGGAATGGATTGGGATCAGTCGCTACCGTGTGAACGTGTCGGCATTTTCTCAATAGTACTGGATGCGTGAGCTTCACAGTAACGGACAGAGTACGGTGACCTGATTTGTGGCCATTCCTCTATCGCCGCCTAAGTAACCCCGTTTCCAGCGAAATGTCAAGACAGTAAGCAATACCATAANATACCACACGTATTCTACCTTACTTGATTAGGTTTTGGCTGGGGCTACCAATAAAGGTTCGCACTGTTTCCAGCTGTCTTTTAACTGGAATCGTTGGGATACGCCTCGTGAGAAGAAGTTCTGTGATAGTCTTGGCGAGACAACATAGTGTTTGGAAGGGAAGCAACACCAAAAGGTGCTGGTTCATTATATTGGCATATACACCAACCAACTGCAGTCACACTTCACAAAAGGACCAATTTTAAGACAAGCTCGCCCGGCTCATGTGAATGAGCCGTAGCTCTGATGCTATAGCGCTGGTTGGAAAACTGAGCACATCCAAAGCGTGTCTAGGCGGCGCTTCACTCTTACTGCACAGCAAACAAACAATGGTGATCGACTACTTCAGTTCTGCACAGCTCATCGGCTGGTTTTATCTAACATTAACTTGCGACAGCTCCAGTCGGACGGCGACATGGTGTTCTAGTTCAACGGGTAAGCTGACCCCAAATGGACCGCATAGCTACTGTTGGCATGGTTCATGACAAAATTGCAGATCCTATTGGACCACCTGCGTTGAGTCTGATCACGAACTAGTTCTGAAGCGCTTCATTCTTCGACTAATCAGCCATCGGCAGAAATCGCACTCTCAGTTAACTTACTACCGTCTGCACCAACCATCTTTCCACATACGTTATCAGAGGAGGCTGGGACAGGAGCTAAGAGCACCGTGAGGTGGCGGGGAACATCAAATTATATTTATGATGCACTCAGCAGCAAGCTTTGCTTGTGGGACCGAGCCCGAAATTCAATGAAGACAGTGAATCTCTCGGGAGTCAGTAACCCTGGTGAAAAAAGCGAAGTATCCGAATCTGCCAGGACAAAAATAGAAGCTGGCGGCGTCTGTAGCGACAGCTAAGGAAAAGCCTTAACAAAGATCGCGAAAACTGGTACGCCAAAATAGTGAAATGGAGGTCGCAGCTGTATCAGTGAAAAGTCAAAGACTGTTTCACCTGATAAACAGCACCGTAAGTCATCGCATACCGATGAGTGAGAACATTCGTGATAAAAAGGACAGAGTACTTACAATAAAGAACCACGACTTGATCGCTGGGAACAATAATTCAGTGAATAGTTCAATTAGCCTAGTGATAATGCGGTTTTTCCGATGATTGCTGGAGAAACTCCATGAGTGGTAAACTCTGAGCCTCCAACGAAGCTGTAATCCATCATCAAGAAAGGGAAGGCAGCGGGACTTATTGGACTTCTCGCCATTATTTTTAAGCTTGAAGATGACCCACTCGTCGATTCGGTTATAGGCTTGTTTTACAGTATCTGGCCAGAGGAGGATAT